TTCTTATTTTATTACCTTCCCCTTTTTAGGGTTTAGAAAGTTGATGTTAAATTTTCTGTTTAGGGTTAGGTGGTTGTCGTTAAATTCTTTGTTTAAGGTTTAAGTGATTGTTGTTAAATCTTTTTTAGGGTTTAAGTGGTTGTTGCTCATTTCTTGATTTGTTCAGGGGAGATGTTCATCCTTAGTAGGATTCTAAGGAGGTATTTTTATCCCTTTGATTTGTTCGGGGAGGTGTTCATCCTTAGTGAGATTCTAAGGAGGTGTTCATCCCTAATGTGATTCTAGGGAAGTATTCATTCTTTGTGTGTTGGTTGTAAAGGAGGTGTTCATCCCTAATGTGATTCTAGGGAAGTATTCATTCTTTGTGTGTTGGTTGTAAATGAGGTGTTTTTTTATCCTTTTATTTGTTAAGAGGAGGTGTTCATCCCTAGTGGGATTCTAGGGAGGTGTTCATCCTTAGTGGGTTTCTAAGGAGGTGATTATTTTTTCAATTAGTTTACTCTTTACTATTCCTCTGCTGAGTTGATTATAATTTGTAAACTAAATTTGAAAGATAGTGAATTGCGGTAACTCTTGTGATTAGAGTTGACTGGGAGATGTAGAGTTGGCTATACCCGAACAAGTATAAATTGTTTTGTGCTCCTCTCTTGTGCTCTTTTCTTTTCCCTATATCTTTGTACTTACTTCTTCTTCTTTTTTATCTCTCTGATTATATTATCGCTTCCGCTTTATTTGTGTTAAATTTGATAATTAAAATTGAATTAATAAATTATTAGACATCTTAAAATAAATTTTTAATTTGACATCTATTTTAATTTATGCATTTATCCACCCCCTCTAGATGTCATTTGTCTAACAAGTGGTATCGAGTTTGATTAAATAAGATATTCTAAACGATCTGTCAAGAGATGTCTATGCGGAATCATGTTTACGGGGAATGAGCCTCAATAAACAGACCACCACTATTTGAAGGAGAAGACTATCAGTTTTGGAAAACGAGAATGAAAATATTTTTTCAAACACTAGATTATGGTGTTTGGGATAATGAAATAGAAAACAAAACTTTACAAAATGTGTAACTCCATTAACATAATCAAAGACAGGAGTTAGTTTGTCATTTTTATAGGAAAACAAGTTATTAAACTTTATAAAACTAATTAAGTTAGGGATGATAAAAGGGGTTAGGTTCGACGAGCCGACCAATCTGCCTATAAAATAGCGGGACGAGTTGGTGATTTTAGCTCGTCAGCCCATTTTGGCCTGCCTTTCCTAAACCACCAATTCAATGCAGCACGAGATGAATTGATCTGTTTGTCCGCTATAAAAAAATACTTATATATTAAAATTAAAAAAATTATATAATTTTATTATGTTATTAAAATATGTAAATATATTATATTATAATTTTAGTTATAAAAATTAATTAGCTAAATTGAATTTTTTTTATTATAATTAGTTATTTTGACACAAAAATATAATATTTTTCAATTTATTTAATAAAAATATTAATTCATAAATAAAAATTTAAAAATTATTCATATAATTACATATATTTTTTTTAAAATACATATAAGAAATTTTATATATAAAAAAATTATTACCAGACTGACCCATAAACCCACCATTTGACGAGGATAGGCGAGGATTTGTGATCTGTCCTAACTATAACAGATCACCCTATCTTGTTTCCGATTTTGACAAGTCAAAGACCGAATGGGTTAAAATGAAATGGGTTGACCCGTTTTGTCATCCGTAATTAAAATAATTTATTAAATGACTTTCACGTTTTTTTTTATGATATTTATATTTGTGCTTGATAAATATATTTAATTTGACCTCAAATGTTTGTTTTTTAAAATTATCATTTTGTTCTTTTATTTTCTACATTTTCATAAAAGTGAACAGATTGCTTTTAATTAAAAAATAAATTGAAGGATAACTTTTAAAAGAATATACATACAAGTCATATAATGAACATAAACATCTATTTTATCTTGTTGAAGGCAATTTTTATCCTAAAAGGAAATGAATAATAGATATTTGAAAAAGAAAGCAGAGAAATTATGGTGTTTTGAACATTATTTCAACTTAGCCACAATTTATTGAAATTTAGGATTAGAGAAAATAATGATGATGATGTTTTAATCTAAAACGTGATTTCAAAGTGTTTAATTGTTGTTGAAACCATAAATCAAAACATAAAGCGATTAGTCAACAAGAGGGATATATGGTTCTCCTTAAATTGGCAACTAGATGAAACTTTCAATAAAAAATCCAACATGATCTTATTTTAAGGTTGGTCTTATGGTAGAGAAATATATATAATTTTAAAAATTAGATCAATGTCGATTTAATCAATTTAAAAATTTATTTATTATTTTTAAATAATTAAATTTTAATTAAATCAAAATAAAATCGATTAAATTTATGAGTAAAAAAATATAAATTTAAAATCAAAATTTTGTTAATATATTTTTTTATAAAAGATATAATATATTTTATATTTTTTTTAATTTTATTTCATGTTAATTTTAAATAATTATTATTTTATTATTTTTTTTATCTTATTTTAAGAATCATCTATTTTATATTTTTTAATATATTTTATATTTATAATTTTTATAATAATTTAATTACTAATAATCTTTATTGTTTTTTATAAAAAATATAATTATTAATGAATTTATTATATTATAAAAATATTATTTTATTAAATTCGTTTAAACTTTAGATAGATTTTTAAATAATGAACTCATATCTTCGTTTATTTTAAAAAAATCACTAACATAAAAATTACAAAGAGCAAGCAAAACAAATTAACTTAATTTTTTTATAATTATAATTGAAAATCAATAATTAGAACGAATAATTCCTTCAAATTATATAGAACAAATATTTCCTTGTAGTTATAACTTTTTCAACATATTGGAAAAGAAGACAAAATAAACTTAAAATTATACTCATGCACATAATTATGTATAATTTTCATCTTCAATTTTCAAGATAAAAATAAAATAAAAAGAGTAACATTTAATTCATAAAATGTACCAAATTATACAAAATTAACTATACCAGTTTCATTATTGAAAACATAATAGCATCTTTTACACCAGCTTCTACGTTTTTTCAATGCATTGGATTTTATGATCAAACCATATTGAATTTTACAAATTCTCATACTTTGTTATTGAATCAATCCTATACGTTATATACTTTGTTTACTGATTATATACTGTTTCTGTTTTTTATTTTTATTTTTCTCTTTTCTTATTCACTCTTCATTTTTATTTTTATTTTTCTATCTTACTTGTATTTCTTTTACCTCTAACACCTATTATTCTAATTAAACTATTATATTAAAATTTAATAAAAATATGTTAAAACATATTTTAAAATCAACATCAAAATTAAAACCATATCAACTAATTATTTAAAATTAGAAGTAAATAATTAATTTAAAATTATTTTATCATAATTAATAATTATTTATCAAATTAAAAATATCAAATAATTAAGAATTAAATGTATTTTTTACTTAATAATTTAATTATAATTATAATTAAGTTAATTATGATGATTAGTTAGATTAAATAATTTTAAAAAAATATTTATTAAAAAGTATTTTAAAATAAGTATTTAATTTTTTCTTAATAATTATAACATAATAATAATATTTATAATATCTTAAATTTATTATATAGTATTTTTTTTAATATAATATTTCTGAATCATTTAAATATTTTTATTTTTAGAATAATAAGAAAACTATTTTGATTGAAGAATAAAATAGTGTGAAAAAAATATAAAAATGAGAAAAAAAACAAATACTAAATAAAGAGAATAAGTAATAACAAGAAATAAACGAAGAAATAAAAAAATTAAATAAATAAATAAATAAGATAAAAATAACTATATTATCTAAATTGAGTTAGTAAATTAAAAAAAAAAAAGCTCTTAGACAAATTACTTATCTGGTTTATAATTGAAGACCGATATTTCACGCTATGTACACCGATTTTTTTTTCCTAATCCTTTACTTGATAGAAAATCAGAGAATTAAAAAAAAAATATTTAGATTAAGTGAAATAAAATTAAAAAAAAAAGTGTTATTATTATACTATTTTTAATTGTTTAATATTTTAATAAAAAATATATAAATATTAATAAAATATTATTCATATAATCATAATCAATTATATAAAATAAATATTAATAAAAAAACAATGAGATGGTTATGGTGAAACTTTTCCTACATCTTAGAAAGTCATGCTTTTTGCGATTCTCATTTTTTTTCTGCGATTTTCTAATAAAATCACCGTCAATATATTTAAAGTTTGAATCGTGTTGTGGACCAAATTTGAAGAAGGCTCAATCCACACAATCCTGGCCCAACAAGAAATCCTCCATGACTAATCTTCAACTAAGACAATTTGCGATCTCGATTCTCGAACACCGTCACTCCTTACCTCCGATTTAGTAACCACAAGAATGCATAAACATGTGATTTCCTGTCTCAGAAAAAGACACATCATAGATATTGAAGTCCCACCAATCTCATCTTTTTCACAAAAAACAACCTGAGACATTTTATGACCATTTTTTCCATTAAGAAGGCATTGTCATTTGACGACTCCTCACTTCAATGTTGGAACCTAGTTTATGTCTATATGCTATTTGACCTAAATATTTATCCACCTTAAATCAAACACCCTTTCAACTTTGCTTATAAATAGTTTGTGTTGTTGGTGATTAGAATTATGTATGGTTTATAAACTGATATCTCATAACAGTGGGCACCCAAAATTTTTTACCCTGAAAAATACAAGAAGCAACTTTGTTTAAATGAACACGATTTGCTAAGGTTCTGCAATTGTGCTATCATCTGATCTAAATGGAACATAGCAAACAACTTGTACGATATGAAAACAGAATTTGCAAGTAACAAATAATATAGCAAAATGCAGGCTAACGGATTACATAGCCAAGTTTCTGTACTTGAACTAAGCCTTCTGAACCTTTTCCACATATGCCTGCAACCAAGTGAAGAATAATTATAAGCAAGTTGGAAAATAAATAACGTCTCAAATTCAAATGTAGATTCAGAATCTGACAGATTATTTAAATTATATATTAAGATATTTTTATTATTATTTAAATAAGAAAAAAATCTTATGTTATTATTTTGAGTTAAGTAATTATGATTAAAATATTATTAATATTTTATATTTTGTTATATTTTTCTTTATATAAATAGGATATACAATTATACGAATAAGAGAGGAAGACATTATCCATATAAAATATATTTTATATATTAGAAATACACATTCATAAAATCCTAAAATTTGTTATTAGTGGTATAAAAATCTTTAGATCTTACTAGAAAAATAGAATGAAGAAGAGATTTTTTACAAGTCGTTATTTCAGTATTTGATGACGAAATATATGACCTGAGTTATTAGAATGCAATTCTATTTTGAAGGACTAAATTTATGAAAAGTTATCGAAGATAATTATATTATTGATCCATTGTCCAAAAACTCACACTAACCCAAATCAAAATTCACAAGAAAAGTAAAATGAAAAAGACAAAAGTAAAATCATGTTTATATGTATATACTCCACAAGTGATTCTCATCAAAATCATAATTAAGTCACCCAAAAAATTTAGAATTATTTTAAATAAGAATTCGAAGTACCCACACAAAAAGACAAAAGAGTCTTGATGAAGAAAATCTTAACAACCAATTAAGTCAACATCTTTCTTAAGAAATAAGATTCCTAGAAGCAACAATTATTTGAGAACTAATTGATAAATATTACAATAGTTACGTTTTAAGAATGAAAAGACTAAAGATATCTTGAAGGTCAGATACCAAACTCTTAAAGAATTTTAAAAAAATGTCGTGAAATTGAGAAGTTTAAAGTTAAATTGAAAAATATTGTATAAGTCTGAAGAAGTTTAAACCTATCATAAATTTGTTTAAGATGGATAACAAGAATAATTAGTGCAGTTGAGAATAAAATGTTTTCTTTATATTACATTTTATACATAAAACATCGGTAGAAGACAATGAAAGTAAATTATAATAAGTTAGAGAATAAATGAAAAATTCTTAATAAAAAAAAGAAATTTTTTTATGAGAAAGTGATTGTTATCAGTGTATACAATGACAAGAATTATAAATAAAAGAGAAAAAATAATAATAAAAATATAAATTTAAATAAATAAATATTAAAATAAAAATTTTATTTTATTATCTTTTATTTAGGTTAAATAATAAGAAATTTTTATTATTTAAAAATATTAAATTATTGTTTTGATTTAAATAATTATAATTAAATATTTTTAATATTTAATATTTTATTATATTTTACTCTATATAAATAGAATATAAGAATACATGAATAAGAGATAAATAATTTTTTTATGAAATATATTTTATATATAAAAAATATACACACGTAAAATCCTAAAAAGTTATCGTCTGGAGTTGCATTCATATTAACGCTCATTTACAAAACCTAGTTAAATGGGAGGCCACATATGGAGTTCTTCATTCATATGATGCAAATATGAAGAGAATAACCACTGACCTGTACAAGTTTGTCAAGCTTTGATCTTGATAATGATAAATAACGGTCAATTTGCTCTTGTGTCTGAGGAATATGTGTCTGCTGCATTGTACTAGTTACTTTGTCAGTAACTTTCTTCACAATTACTTTATGATCTTCTTTGGTAATTTTACCAGATTTCCATGTTGGTTTCAAAAGCTCCTTAATGAACTCAACTAATGAAAATTTAAATGCATGAATTCTTTTCGCATCCTTTATTTTCTTGTCCTCCTCAGACCCACTGTTTTGGTCCAAGTTTTCCAAAGGGCCATCCTGTTCTGTAAATTTATTGTCGCATGGGGAACTTCGCTTTCCTTCAGCTACCGCTTTGTTGTTTTCGCTATTATGCTCAACATTTTCACCTTTTGGCAACTGAATTGAATTTTCACTCTTAGCAAGTTGTTTTTCTGAAAAGTCAGACTTTTTAGAGTCATCAAAGTGTTGTCCTGACTTAGATAACAATGATGGAATTTCTACTGTATCTTTTGGGATATTTTTGCTTGGAGAAAAGCTAGGGACCACCCCATTTTCATTAACATTCTTTGGCTCCCTACTATTACGTCTTGGATCACGTAGCTTTCGGAATCCAACAGCAGGATCAGTCTTGATGATTGTTTTGGAAACAGGCTTACCAGATCCTTCACTTTTGCTTAGGTTTGCATCTAAAGAAACAGAAGCAACAGAAAGTTGTGGGAGCTGCTGACTGGCTCCAAGGATATGGACCAAAGAGGCTGAGAGTCTAGAAAGTTGAGCTAGTTGCTCTTCGCTTACCATGTTTTGAGTTGGGGGATTTTTTGAACCAACTTGTGATAGGTTTGCATCCATACTATTTGCCTGAACCATATATGTTTTCTCAGCAATGACTTTCTGGTTCTGCACACCTTCAATAGTTCTCCCTATTGGAGGAACAATGGAAAGTGCTACTTGACTTTGTCCAACTGCCTGGCAGCTTGAAGAATGCAAAATCTTCACATTCTGATGAAATACTTGTTCTGGCATAATTGTAGAAAAAAAATTAGGATATGAATCAACAAATTTAATAACACATTTTCATTAGCAAATTACATAGTTTTCTACGGACAAGGATGCATAATAAGTGGAACATCAAGCACGGGATTACCTGGAGCAACTTGTTGCTTACTCTGCTCATGCTTTTCTTCAATATGGATGGAAGGTCTCACGGCATGATTCCAATCAGGAGACATTTTTTCATTATCAGGCCAAATATCTTTGCCTACTGACTGAGAAGTGTGAATGTTGGCTTCCTTCATATCACTTGAAAATAGTGTTTTACCATGCACTTTATTCTTATCTAAGTTACGGCCCCATCCATCACCAAATGAACAAGCAGTAATAGCAGTTTCTGGGCCACCCATAACTCCATTTTTGTTATCTACATCAGCCATATTACTATCCAAATCCCATTTATCATTCATTAGCCTTCCATGGAGACCAACTTCATCACTCAATTTTGGCCTATCCAAAGCCTGATCTCCACCACTGACTCCTCTATCTGGGCTCCAGCATGCTTGCCTATCATGAGAAAATCTACAATAGTTACCATTTCGACAATTCCCAAATGCAAAAAATTTGCAAGGATTATCACTACTCTGGTTTGTACCACGTCGACCACCTTGCTCTAAAGAACTCGTTATGCAACTTCTATCAATTTCCATTTCCCTAGTTGATTCAACCACAGAAGCTTTATTGAACTGGTTAGAATTTTCATGATGCACATACTTGCATGATGCTCCCATTCTACAACTTCCTTTTGCATAATTGATACAAGTTCCATTAAATCTTCCAGTTGTACGAGAATTGTTCGCACTCTCAAGGGGAGCATAATATATGAGATATCCATCTTGCCTCTGTCTACTTACCCAGCTGTCATCAAACTTTTGATTGTCACTGTGAAGGAAACGACATTGACTGCCTCTTCTGCACATCCCAGAAGCAAAATCTCTACATGCTAGTGTTAATCCCCTAGCCCTCATCCCATTTCCATGATTGAGTTTTGAATCACACCGAAAACTACGCGGAGGGCTCTTGCTCCTGCTTCTGCTTCGGCTCCTACTTCTGCTCCAAAGAAAGACTGACTAGTAAGAAAACCAGTTTTATCCAGAAAGTATGCATGCACAACGATGTCAAAGATGTAAAATTTCTTTAGGGAGTAGTTTGAACTTTATAACAACCTTGTTGTCAATGACATTAAATATAAAGCAGTTTAAAAGTATTAAGATGACCCGGAAAAAATAGAGCTACCAGAGTGAAACGGGCTCTCGAGGATAAACAAGAGACATTGGACAAACACAATCTGAATCCACAGGTTGGACATGACATTGATGCATCTTAATAAGAAAAAATTGAAAATTGTTTTTGACGCGTAGTTTTATCTAAAGGACCGAAGAACTTCGGCTTCAAAACTTTTCTACATAATCTAAATTTTTAATATAGGATTATTGGGTGTTGCATAAATAGAAAGATAAAAAACCATTCAAACATCACATAATTATTATGTGATCATCTTTAAAGCTAAATAAAAGAGACGACTTAATGTTTCGATCATAAAAATTCATGCAAGATCCCCTATGCTAATGACTATATCACATGTATACAAGCATGAAAACTTAAATGAAAAGGAAAAGAATAATAATTAACTATACAAAATAACATTTGTGAAACAACTCACAAATTCTCAAAAACAGAACAAAAGTGTCCGCTTTTTGTCAAGACAGACAATACAGGGCTCACACGTTTATGGTATTGCTTACCTGATTGGTCAGTATCCAATTCATGAAGTTTCTTTTCACACTAATTATCATTTTCAATGGAACCATATGTTGAAAATATGTTTCAAACGTGTTTAAATATACTACTCAGTACGTACCCAAAGGTGAGAAAGCATTCTCATCAGCATTAGTATGTGATAATATGCTTGTTGTGGTTTCTTTATAAAATATGTTCTTATAAAAAATCAGTTAAACATACTTAGTTTCCATTAATTTTCAGAAATAGGATCAGTGCAGATGTAAGGGGAGAAACAAACCTGACACTGCTGCAACCAGTTTTTGGGGATTGACTGTACTTATTTTTGCAATCCTCATGCGTAGGAGACATTTTCATGTTATCAGTGTTCTGTGCATCTGAAACTCTGTAATCTTTATTCATAATATCATCCTTATATAAACCTCTGCCTCCAGAAAAAAGATTCCTCGTCTGAAAATCCCCTTCTGGGATTTAACTTATCATTTCTTTCCAAATAGGAAACTTTGAACTACTGTTACTAGCAGTACCTGTAGATGACCCAGACTTAATTCAACTAAAAAAAATCTAACTCAAGAAGAAGAGACATCTTACATTTAACATTAATAGTACTGTTGTTTCTCATATACATTATAATAGTAGTGTCATTAGTAATATTGAATATCAAAACAAATATTAGAATGCACGTTCCTTCTAACACTATTCAATATGTATGAATATCCAAAGACCATTCAAACACAAAATAGTAGCTCACCAAGATGAGCAAGAAAAGTTCTTGACTCTTTGATTTTTTTGGTGTATGATCATCCGGTGAAGTGTTTAGTCTCTGGAAGTTTCCTCTACTCATTGGGTTTTGAAGTAGTCTATTGCTTCTAACTCTAATGGTGAGAAAAAAAGTTTTGTATTACTGTTGAGTAATTCTTACTTGATCAGAATCCCTGAGGATGAGGATCTAGGGAGACTTGAAGGAGATGAAAAACAATTGTCATGGAAGTTATGTTTTAAAATAAAAGAGTTATGTTTTATAAAAAACTTAATTAAGCTTTTCACTTATACAAGGAGGATTCTGGTAGAAATCAATCTCTTGAAGTATAAACTTTATGTTGAAAACTGTTCTGCTACTACACAGAATAGAACTTCTTCTATCTTAGGATTTAATGCTAGAGAATTATAATTTTTAATTAACTCGGTGTTCCTTTCTTGAAGGGAAAAAGAATAGGGAAACACTTGCAACACTTTGACGTACAAATTAAAGGAAAGATTGGAAAGGGTCTGTTTTAATCTTTATGGGAAGATCTATACTTGTTTCATATGTTATCTATAGCATATTGCTGCACAACCTTGAAGTCTATCTTGGATTAAAAGCTTGATTAATTATCTGGAAGGATGGATTAGGAAGAATGAGCTAAAATTATTTTAAAATGAGTATAGGAATTGATATCCTTTGAAGTAGAATGAGCTAAAGTTATGAGGGGTAGAGTTATAAAAGGGATCCTTGGCATTAAAGGATGTTTTCATATGGAATATGCAAACAATTCTTGGCAGATTGGTAATATAAAGAACATTTATCTTTAGGCTGATTTTCGTCACTATTATAATAATTAATAATAGTAGTAGTCTTAAAGATAGGACCAAACACTAATTATTTGTGGAGTTGCATGAAAATTGAACTTTATAAATATATTTTATAAGAATTAAAAATAGTTTGCCCAATTTAAAAATAAGCAAACAAAACTAAAATAATAACTATTTTTCAATAACTATAAATTAACTAGGTTAGCATTTCAACCTCATCTATCATATGTACCCAACATAGATGATCATATAAAAAATAAGAGAAGAAAGTGAAAACCCATTAAAAAACCTATACTAAAAGATTACTGTCCTTAGAATGGTCTGAGTGAATGAAATCATAGTTAAATTATAATATATAAGTTGTTATGCTCTTTAGTATAAATAGTTGTTTCAGAATATAATTTGTGTCATGTCTTATTGTTTTCATTATTTAGTTTATTACGATATATTAGATGTCACAAAACAAAACATAATATTTATATTTAACTTGTATATAAAAATGTAATTTTAGTTGTTGAATTTACCTGAACAGAGTTACAATATAAATGTCCTCGGTCCTTTCTTAACTTCACAAAAGGTTTTGACAATCAAACTCGAATTTAATTATGCCCCAAATTGAATGTGAACCCATGTACAACAATGGCATATGCTTCATCATCAATGTCGAAAATAAGAATAAGCACGAGAGGTCTTACATTATTGAGTTTGACAACATTGGTCGCATAAAGATCGAGACCATAATTTGATGTCACAAAAAACATGTTAATTGATGTAGCATAAGTGCAACGTTGGATATCTCAAAGGGTTTTATAGGTAGAATTTATTTATTAAAATAAATACGTTTGGACATACAAGTAGGTGAGAAAAAGTAAAAAGTAAAGAGATGATTTTGTCATCAACTTCAATTATTGAGAATATATATAGTTTTGAATATGTCAACATTTTGTGTTACAACTTCTAACACATAAATGTATCCCTTTTAACATTATGAATTTATCATTTTCATAAATTTAATACTTTGTTCAATAAATAATAAATACTAACAATTAAACAAATATGATTCCAACATCATATTTGAACGCTCCATTTGCATAATTAGCTTCTGAAATGGTAAAAATTAAACACAATAATCCTTGTTGACTAAAAAATATGTTTTCATACTTTTAATTTCCATATGTATCAATTGATAGACAAATAAATAAAAACTGAAATTAAAAGAAAAATTAAAAAATGAAAACATACAAGTACCTGAATGAAGGATCGGCCAAGGATTCAAAATAGTAGATCTCCACGATTTATTAAGTGAAAACTAGAAAAATAAAGAAACAAAAATTAAAATTGGAAAATTAGTTCTTAATCTACTTAAATAGAAAATTATAGAAATGAAAGTGAAAAAATAAAAATAAAAGAAAGAATCTAAAATGGAAAATAAAATTGATAAAACCATAAATGAATTAAATCTAAAAAGAAAAGTCATCGTCGTACCACTAGAGACGACCAATAATTTGACGATCATAAACACAAACGATAGCGATGAATTTGAATCTTGAACAATTCAAGATTTCGAGTATTCGAATTCGGCGGAAGAAATTATTTTTACTTATGACTTAGGGTTACAACATAATCTCTATGTATAAAATATAATATAATATAACATAAAAAAAATATTTTAATATTATACTATTTTACTACCTCAAATTGGGTTCAATAATTTAAAATAATTCCTATTCACACCTCCTTTTAACTAAATTTAACTCTTTTTATATAAATGTTTTTTTTTAAATACCCACTTTTACAAAGAATTTTCTTAAAATATAAAATTGTAATAATTTTTATCATTCTCACTTGCATAACAAAACAAAATCTTAAATGGTTCTTCCATAAATCAATTACCTCACCAAGCAAACACAATCATAGTCAAATATTATTATCACCTCTTTTGTATTTTATTATATAAATATTCTTTTACTTAATAAATATACTAGTAATTTAATCATAAAATATGTAAATAGTATAATAATAATAATAATATGAATAACAATTCAAAACCATAATTAAAGAATATATATATATATATATATATATATATATATATATATATATATATATATATATATATATATTAAAAAGTTAGATGAGTTACGAATGTCAACCTTTTTTATCTGATCTTGACTTGTGTAAACGATAAATTATATGAGATAAACTTAAGAAGACGAAAAAGTTAAAATATCTCATTTATCCCACATTTTTTACAATGGATTAGTAGATTAATCTATTGGACTCGCATTATTATCTCTAACTATACTAAACTAATCGCATCCACGACTATTAAATGATAAAAGAATAATAATAATAATAAAATTGTGAAAGTCAATCAATCTATAATTATTGAAAAAAATTGGATTACTAAAATAAAGATTTTCCAAATAAAGGATACAATTTCTTTAACAAGTATTACTCAAATGCTTGAATATCTAATAATTATCACTTAATAGAGCTTTTAAAATACATATTAATATTAATGTCTAATGACTTGTTTTACCTTAATGGTTTAGTTCAACAATACAAATGGACCAAGATTAAAATATCCAGTTAACGGGCCAATTCAGATGATAAGATATTATTATTATTTATTTTATATTAAAAGTTGTCCTCAATTTAAAATTTTTAACTTAAACATGTTTCATATTCATAACGTATAATAAATATCTTTAAGTGTATCAATTTGGATTTCAACCCATAAATTATTTTGACTTATTCACATATTTATAGAGGGTTGGATTAAAAAATTATAAAATAAAAAAAAAAAACAAATCTTATTCACTTAAACCGTGATTGAAAGAACTTCACCCATTTTAGTGATAAGTTAACTTGTGATAATTTTTGAATCCTTAATAACCTAATTTATCTTATTTACGTACTAATCTAAATCTCCAAATGGATATATGTCTTAATCAACTCACTTACTCCGTCAGTTATAATAATTTTAAAAAATATATACGACATCTATAAATAAAACACATAATTTTTTGCTACCAACACATAAGTCAATTTTAATTAAACTATTTTTAAATTTATGGTAACCAATGAGAACATCATTTGGTGATCTCATTGTATTATTGTTTGGATGAGAGAATAGACTTAAGGAAGTGAAAAAGAAGAGAAAGAGAGTAAAAAGATAAATTGTTTGGATGAAGAAAAATAGGGTGAAAAATAAAATAAAAAAAGAATGAAAAAAATGTAATTGATAAAATTTATTTAAATAAATTAAAAATAAAGAAATAATAAAATAAATGGTCAAAATATCTTTTATATAATTTTAATAATAATAAATTAAAATTAAAATATAATTTAATATAAAGTGATTATTTAATTAAATAAATAAATAATGAAATTAATTCTATATGAATTAATATTTATACTTTATAATTTTTTTTATAATAATTTTATAAGTAATATTAAATTGTATAAATTATTTAAAAAATTATAGTGTATATTTTTATATAATAAATTGAAAGATTATTTTTAAAATTTAAAATAATATTAAAAATTATTACAAAAAATTAAAATTATTTAAATAAATAATACAAATATAATTAAATATTTTTAAAGTATAAACCACGGTTTAATTTTTAAATTATGATAACTTTATGAAAAAAAAATTAATAAAGAAAATTAAAAAACAATTTTTTAAAATAAAATTCATATTATTTTTAATATTTAACTAAATGTATTTTAAAAAATATCAATACATAATTTATTTACGTATGATTATTATTATTATATATATATATAATATTAAAACAATTGTGAAACAAATAAATATAAATAATTAAATTTGATGATAAATGGGTTGTTGATGAGATTAATTTATAAATAAAATAGTAATTTTTATTTTGACACATTAACTTTTTTTGAGCTCCCTTACTCCTCTCATGTGGGAATTGTTTCTCAATTCCATTTCTTTGGGTTTCTTGGAAATGAAAACTTATTTAATGCATTCAAAACATGTATATCCGTCACCATTATATATCAAACCAAGGCTTGCTATGAATTATGAACAGACGTGTTGTTGCATGACAATTAAACTGGTATGTGGGAATTCATTCTTTCCCGTTACGAGTGTAAGGGAGAAAATCTACTCTTCACTGTCATCACTCTTTGAATCCATTTTTCATTGAGTTAAATATTGTTTTGTTGCACCTTCATTCATATTTTTATTTTCATGTCCTTAAATATAATATACCATTTACATGTTTGTAACGTTTGTCCATAAGATTATAAATAATCCTGAAGAGTTGGGAAAATAAAAAATTTCCTTAAAAGTTTATCACTAGATATAATTCATCATAGTACCATTTAGAAATTACTGTATATATATAATTTTCTGTTTTGTAAAAAAAAAATACAATTAAAAATTAATAAATTTAATTTGCATTTATAAATATACTTTTATATTTAGTTTCAAATAGAAATTTAAAATGGTTGTTATTTACATAAAATAAATATATAATTAAATTTAATAATATATAACATTTAGTGAAAGTTATAATTACTTAAAATAAGAAACATTATAATTTTTAAACATGTGAATTAAATTATGCATAACACAACACAAACATGGTACCTGACATGATAACATAGCAGAGGATAAATGACATTAAAACATAGCACAATGATATTTGATAACTAAATACTATTCACACAAAATATGAGTAGTAGTTTTTTTAAACGGGGAAATTTCTGACCTTAGTCCACCATTGGATCATATGGACAACATCAACATCAATTTTTAGTTCAACATATTTATGAATGAGCTTTCAAAAAAACTATTCTCATCTTGTGATTTTATTTAGTTTCTATAAGTTGAACTGTGTTTTATGATTATTTCCTTGATTAATAACTCATGTTTATCAATAATATGTTTATAATGTTATTTTATATATATATATATATATATATAGTTAATTTTTATTATTAATAAATTTTATAAATTTATTAATATCAATAGATTGTAATTAATAATGATAGTAAATTTTTTTTTAAATAAATAATAATAAATTTACAAATTTATTAATTTCAAGATAACATTAAAATTGTCATTAATAATTTCAGTTGTTAAATTGATATTTAATATTAGTATATTTATTAACATAAATTTAAATAATAATTAATAATAAAAATAAATCTAACCGTTATTTAAGTTAATAATAATAAATTCATTAATTCATTAATTTAATATAATGATATTTTTATTATATAAAATAATTTAATTTAAAATTTAAAACAGTATTTTCAGTTTATTAATTTTATATTTTTAATTTTGTTATTAAAAGGTTTTCTTTCTCTTACAATAGAAAAACATATCAACTGTAGCAAACAAGCAAAGCTAAGAATTTCTCTCCCAGAGAACCAAGTTTCGATATGAAATAAAGAAAAAAAAGAGAGAGTTGAATTTAGTAAATAAAGTTGCAATGGATTGATTTCAGATTTTTTTTCTTCTATAGGCAACATATAAGTCCGAATAAGATTTCTCATAAGCCGAATTAGTTTTTTTTTCTAATGAATTGAAAATAAAGATTTTGAAATTTATAATTATGTTATATTCAAATTTAATACTTAGTGATAAATTTTTATTATTATAAAATTCATAAAATAACTAAAAATTTATAAAATATGTGATAATAAATATTTTTATGCATAAATTAAGTATTTAATAATATATTTTACTGTCACAAAATTAATAAAAATTAGTTTTTAAATTTAAGTATAAAAAATATTTAATTAATTAAATATTAAAATATAAAAAATAAGTTACAAAAATAAAAAGACTAAAACATATTTAATGATAATAATTACTAATAATTTTTGAAAATTTATGTTAATATAAAATTATTAAACTGAATAAAATTATATTAGAAATATTTAACTTTTATTTTGTAATGTTAAACTAAGAAGATTCGTTTAAAAGATTAAAGATTGATAAATGTTATTTTAAAATATCTGTATCAATTATTAATATTAATTCAAACTTTTGAATATAATTCACAATTCTTAATTTAAACTCTTTTTTTTCTATTATTGTGAATTGTGAGTTATAGAATTTTCTTCGAGAAATTTTCATTTAAATTTACAATTATTAATAAATATATTAATTTGTTATTAAAATATTTTTTTATTATTAATATAGTTTTTTGTAATTTATTATTATTAATTAAAACTTATTATAAATATGAATAAACATTACAAATATATTGATAAATATATTAGAAACATGAATCTTGTTGTTATTATTAACTTATATTTATTATCAATAAATATATAAATTGATTCAAAATAAATGCTTAATTTAAATAGTTTTGGTAAATATTAATTATTTTATAATTTGAATTAATTGTATGTGTTATAGAGTTTTTTAAAAAACTTTTCGTTTAAATGGATTAATATTATTAATAAATATATCAATTTATTAAAAATAAATTATTATAAAAAATCTAATATATGATTCTCAATTTAAAGTATTTTTATTAATATTAGTTAATAATATTTTTATTAGAATTTTTAAAAAACTTTTTATTTACGTTATATTAAATTAGTTGAGTACGAAAAGTATGCTTGAACCCGTTTTTCTGTAAATTTTTTTCTTTAATTAATTGAAAATACTTTTTATCAAAATTTGAAATTTCATCTTACTTATATTAAATAAATAATAATATTTATTAATAATGATCATTAATATTGTGAAAACCCACACTAACACGTAAGTTTGGTATAACTAAAACTAAATATTAGTAAAATAGCACAGTTACAATGTAAGAATCAACAAAAGTATAATTATATCAACATAAATAATTAATAATATAAGTACATTTAAATTTTTAATAAATATATACATCTACCATAATTTGGCTTCTGAAAAATCGAATTCGAACCTAAAAGGAAAAAAAATCTAGTCAACTAATTAAAACGGGAATGAGTTTATGTTGGAAAATATTTTGTCAAATGAGTTATTTGGGAAAAATATTTCGTCTCATTACCGAACATTACTTATTTTGATTTCACAACGTTGTCAGTGCAACCCAACGCTACCTCATAACACAACCATCCATGTCTGTGACGCAATAAGCTTTCACTTTACCCTTCCCTCTTCCCTCTCACTCCTTATTCAGCTGTTTACTTTTCACGTTTGAACACTCAAATTTTCTATCCAACACCATCTCCTCATGCCTCACTGAAACATTTTCTTCTGTTCTCACAAAGTAACGTATAACGTTTCTGCAATAATAACCACTCTTCACTCTCTTATTAAACACAAAAATAAATGCACCTCAATAATGAAGTTAATAATAACAGTAGTGGCCACTCCTTCATACCAAGCCAACTAAAAACCCGTGAGCCACTTCCAAATTCATGCCATACGAATAACATTTTTGTATAAGAGAAACAAGATCAAAATCTCAATCATCAACTATGGATAATCATTCACACCTATAAATAAGCACACCGCCATCACTTATCCGATGCACTATTCTTGAATTATGAAACACATTCCCCCAACATTCCACAATGGATTATCTCTTCTTTCTCTTTCTCTCTCTCTCCCTCCTCCTAACCCTCTCCTCAGCCACGCACCAAAAAATCCCGCCACTCGCCACTTTCAAATCCGTCACGCCTGAGATCCAACAAGCCTGCGCAGCTACGCGCTTCCCGAAGATATGCGAAACCTCACTCTCTCAGGACCCCGAACTCCCACCCAACCCGACCTCTCTCCAGCTCATTCAGTCCGCCATCGCCATCTACTCCCAAAACCTCTCCACCGCGCAGTCCATGGTGAAGTCCCTCCTTGACGCCGCCGCCCACAGCCGCAATCTCACTATGGCAGTCTACACTTGCATCGAAGTGCTAGCCAACTCGGAGCGCCGCAGTTCCCTCGCCACGGACGCGCTTCCACGTGGCAAAATCAAAGACGCGCGCGCGTGGCTGGGCGCCGCGCTTGCTTACCAGTACGATTGCTGGAGTAGCCTCAAATATGCGAACGAGTCTGCGGCGGTCAGTAAAACGATGGCGTTCATCGACTCCCTCGAATCTCTCTCTACCAACGCCCTCAACATGGTCTTCTCCCTCGACGCCTACGGAAACGATACCGCTTCGTGGAAGCCTCCCACCACCGAGCGCGACGGCTTCTGGGGGACCCTCGGCTCCGCCGAATCCGGCCCCGTCGGAGGGGTTCCGTCCGATTTAAAGCCCGACGTTACGGTCTGCCAAGGGGGAGGTAACGGCTGTTATAAGACGATACAAGAGGCCGTTAACGCGTCACCAGATAACGGTGAGGGGACGAAGCGGTTTGTGATACTCATAAAAGAAGGAGTTTACAAGGAGACCGTTAGAGTTCCGTTAGCGAAGAGGAATGTGGTGTTCTTGGGTGACGGCGTTGGCAAGACGGTCATAACCGGCGATGCTAACGTGGGGCAACCTGCCATGACAACTTACAACTCTGCCACCGTCGGTATGTTTCCATTATATATTTTTTTCTCAGTAACTTTTAAAATAATGAAGAATCATATATGAGATTAAAGTAGTTTTTTAACCTAAAAATATGAGAAAATTACAAATACCTAAAGATGTGATTTTTAACTATGATGAAGCTGTTCTTGGAGATGGATTCATGGCAAAGGATCTGACGATTGAGAACACGGCTGGTCCAGACGCACACCAAGCAGTGGCATTCAGATCAGACAGTGATCTTTCTGTGATTGAGAACTGCGAATTCTTGGGCAACCAAGACACTCTCTATGCTCACTCCCTCCGCCAGTTCTACAAGTCATGCCGCATTGAGGGCAACGTGGACTTCATCTTCGGAAACGCTGCTTCAGTTTTCCAAGACTGCCTCATCCTGGTTCGTCCCAGGCAACTGAATCCAGAGAAGGGCGAGAACAATGCTATAACTGCACATGGCAGAACAGACCCTTCACAACCCACAGGCTTCGTTTTTCAGAACTGCGTGATTAATGGCACTGAGGATTACATGGCTTTGTATCACAGCAATCCTAAGGTGCACAAGAACTATTTGGGTAGACCTTGGAAGGAGTATTCTCGAACGGTTTTCATCAATTCAGAGTTGGAGGTCCTTTTGACGCCCCAGGGTTGGATGCCATGGAGTGGTGACGTAGGCCTGAAGACACTGTACTATGGGGAGTTTGGGAACCAGGGACCTGGTTCTGGTTTGTCCCAGAGGGTGCCCTGGAGTAGCAAGATCCCTGAAGAGCATGTCATATCTTATACAGTGCAGAATTTCATCCAAGGAAACGATTGGATTCCCTCTTCATCTTCTTAATTTAATAGAAATCACATGAAATGGGGGAGTTTTATTTGTCTCCTTTGTAAATGAGCAATTATCAATTAATACAACAATAAGAGCTTTCCAGTTGGAAAGAAAATTTGAAATGAATTAGAGAGTGGTGATGGTAAACTCCAAGGGGCAAATAGGTTGTTAACGGGGAGAAGGAAGTTGGAAATTTTGATTCAAAGAAGTTTATGGGTGTGGTACACGTGTCAGTCACATGGGCCTCTACTTAGAGCTTTGCCCGACAGGTGATTCCTATTAATAAACTATCCATACTCCCAGTTCAGGCATTGCCTTATGTAGATGTTGAAAGCACTTCTCCCAAGCGCATTACGAAACTTACAAAATTTATGAATTTTTTTTTATAAAATAATAATTTTTAAATAAAAATATATTTATTTTATTAAATATATATATATATATATTTATAAATTAATTTGATAAAAAAATTTATTTATTTTATAAGTAAGTATAAAAATAAGTTTACAATATTTATTTTTTTAATTTAATAATTAAAATAAATTATTATTTTTAATTATTAAATTACTAAAAAATAAATAATAATAATAAATTTTTTTAATTTTTAATATAAAGTAGTATATGCTTTATAATTAGTGTCATTTTGATAAATTTCCTTTCTGGTCTATAAGGACAAATTATTATTATATGATGAGATCTACAATATACTTTATTTTTTTAAATGAAATTTAAAAATAGTTTTAATATTACTATGATATCTCTAATATCGGTAGTGTAATTTAATTTCTGTATATTCTATATTATTAACTTGAATGTTAGAGATTTTGACATGTATCTCAGTTTTTAATCTGAAGAATGTCAATTTAATGAATTATTGTAAATATCTCATTCATTATTTTTTAAATTCTAATAATTGTTTTCTTGTTTAGTGAATCATAATTAATGCAAACATTTTTCAAAATTAAAATTTTCATAAATTTGTATTTTTAAAAAATATCATTTCAAAAAATATTTATAGTTATTTAAAATATTTCATTTTATGGATGGATATAATTTATGATAAAAATGATTGGATGAATTAAAATTGTATTAATAAATTAGATGGGATAAAATAACAGATAAAAAAGGATTAATAGATTGTTTTATCCATTATAAAATAAAATAAAATTTATCCATTTTGCCCCCTTACATATGAAAGAAAAAAGAGAAGTCAAAATGAGTAGCAATCCCATTAGCAAGTAATAAACGCTTAATAGAAACTCAGATAATTCAGAGCCTTGTTTTGTTGTTTTACCAATAAGTGATCCAAGTTATGGGGGATTGAGGACTCGTAATATATATAGGGGATTAATACGAAGCCCTAGATTGGTGTGGCTTGTTAGGTCTTGATCATTTGGACCTTTCATTGACTTCAGATTTGTAGCATAGCAGAACTATTGTTCACGTGAGGTATGACTGATAGTGTTAGATGTATTCACATGTTGCGGAAAGGGCCTTCAAAATACTTCCAAATCAAAATTGATTTCCTCACAGTTCATTCACGTGAGACCTTGTTCACCGTTCATCCACACCAGAGACAGGATAGGTCGCACTCGCCTCCTAATCCTATTTCTTTTCCAAAAGTTTTGATTCTTGCAAGTTTTTGACACGGGACCAAATTAAATATCTTCATAAGTTTGTCTCGTTACTTTAGGTTATGTAAAAATTAATAAATAAATGAAGGGTTCAGCTAAATTTGCATTGCTGCACCAATGCTATTTTTGGAGTTTGGTAAGGCACTCTAATAATCCAATACCATTGGCAACTTGTGTTCTGGACTTTTTGAAATTGGTGCCACCCATAGTGAATCAGTGGTTTCTCCACTAACTGCACTACCTGCTTTAGGGTGAATAAGCAGTATAGAGCATATCCACATCCTAAAACATGCTGATATTCATGGACAGGTGAATATAATAATGACAAGGTTTGTTGGTTCCATGTGTACTTGGAATATTGTGGCTGTTAATCACCCATTGAACTAGTTTGTCAAAGAGTAGTTCTGCTAATAGTATATAGTTGAATTATGAGTGTATTGGTTCAACCATCATTCATCTGTCCCAGACATTGTGCTGTTTCTCATGTGAATGTAATCCTCAACCAGAACTGTACCAATAAAAAAAAAAAAAAAAAAAAAAACTTAAGCAGAATCCAACTTATTATATCTCCCTTTCATTTGAATATAAATTTTCATAAGGTTGCTGCTATAAATAAGTACCACCATCACTCATCAAAGACGTTCTCCTCAAATCACTGAACCCATTCTCCCACTATTTCATAATGGATTATCTCTTCTTTCTCTTTCTCTCCCTTGTCCTAACCCTCTCCTCCGCCGCGCACCCAAAAACCCCCCGCGCCGCCCCCACCAAAACCGTCACGCCTGAGATCCAACAAGCCTGCGCGGCCACGCGCTTCCCGCAGCAATGCGAGACCTCTCTCTCCCAATACGGCAAACTCCCGTCTAACCCGACCTCTCTCCAGTTCATCCAGTCTGCCATCGCGGTCTACTCCGAAAACCTCTCCACCGCGCAGTCCATGGTGAAGTCCCTCCTCGACGCCGCCTCCGAAAGCCGCAACCTCACCGTGGCCGCCTCCACCTGCATCGAACTGTTGGACAACTCGAAGCGCCGGACTTCCCTCGCCACCGACGCGCTGCCACGAAGGAAAATCAAGGACGTGCGCGCGTGGCTGGGCGCCGCGCTCGCTTACCAGTACGACTGCTGGAACAGCCTTAAATACGCGAACGTGTCCGTGGCGGTCAGCAAAGCAATGGCTTTCATCGACTCCCTGGAATCTCTCTCCAGCAACGCCCTCAGCATGGCCTTCTCCCTCGACGCCTACGGAGACGATACCGCTTCGTGGAAGCCTCCCGCCACCGAGCGGAACGGTTTCTGGGGGAACATCGGCTCCGCCGAATCCGGCCCCGTCGGAGGAGTTCCGCCCAATTTGAAGCCCGACGTCACGGTCTGTCAGGGGGGAGGAGACGGCTGTTATAAGACAATACAAGAGGCCGTTAACGCCGCACCAGATAACGGCGACGGGACGAAGAGGTTTGTGATACTCATAAAAGAAGGAGTTTACAAGGAGACCGTTAGAGTTCCGTTAGCGAAGAGGAATGTGGTGTTCTTGGGTGACGGCATTGGCAAGACGGTCATAACCGGTGATGCTAACGTGGGGCAACCACCCATGACAACTTACAACTCTGCCACAGTTGGTATGTTCAATTATATATTTATGGATAAATTGGTCATTTTGCACTGAATAACTCTTCAAATAATGAAAAATCATACGTATGTGGGATTAAAATAATCATTTAACCTAAACAAAATCGCTTTTTTCAAAATTTTACATCATTTATTTTTTTTCAGTTTTACCCTTGTCTTCTTATTAAAGAATATTAAATTAATATTTTTAAAACTTAAAAGGGGTACGGCGATTTAATTATGTTAAAGATGTGATTTTAACTACCATGGCAGCGGTTCTTGGAGATGGATTCATGGCAAAGGATCTGACGATTGAGAACACGGCTGGTCCTGACGCACACCAAGCAGTGGCATTCAGATCAGACAGTGATCTTTCTGTGATTGAGAACTGCGAATTCTTGGGCAACCAAGACACTCTCTATGCTCACTCCCTGCGCCAGCTCTACAAGTCATGCCGCATTGAGGGCAACGTGGACTTCATCTTTGGAAATGCTGCTTCAATTTTCCAAGACTGCCTCATACTGGTTCGTCCCAGGCAACTGCATCCAGAGAAGGGCGAGAACAATGCTATCACTGCACATGGCAGAACAGACCCTACACAACCCACGGGCTTCGTTTTCCAGAACTGTGTCATCAATGGCACGGAAGAGTACATGGCTTTGTATCACAGCAATCCTAAAGTGCACAAGAACTATTTGGGTAGACCTTGGAAAGAGTATTCTAGAACGGTTTTCATCAATTCAGTGTTGGAGGTCCTTTTGACGCCCAAGGGTTGGATGCCATGGAAGGGTGACTTTGGCCTCAAGACACTATACTATGGAGAGTTTGGGAACAAGGGACCAGGTTCTGATTTGTCGCAGAGGGTACCCTGGAGTAGCAAGATCCCTGAAGAGTACGTCGTAGCGTATTCAGTGCAGAATTTCATTCAGGGAAACGATTGGATTCCGTCGTCATCATCTGTTGGTATCCCATCGTCGTCGTAATTAATAGAGATCATGGGAAGTGGGGGAGTTTTATTTATCCCCTTTGTAAATGACCAATTATCAATTAATACAACAATAATAGCTTTCCAGTTAGGAAGAAAATTTTAAATCAATTTGAGTCGTGATGGTAAACTCCAAGGGGCAATAGTTGTGATCCATTCATTTTACCTTGTTGACCCCTGTTTGGATTATTTAACGTGTTTGGTTATCAGTTAAAATCATGGAAATGGCAGAATAATTTTTTCCCTCAATACCAATATTTCTGCACCAAGAAATTTATTAACATTTGCAAGTAAGGTATAAAGCTAAATTCACATGTCACAAATTAGAAAGGGATGCTGTGGTAATGGCAGGTGGTGTTGGAGTATAGTAAGACTCATCATCATCAGTCCAATTGGTTTCTCCCCAATTCTTCAACATGTTTTTCCATGAACACAAGTTATCTATGCATTTCTTCAACCTTTTATCTTTAACTTTAATTCGCCAATGCCCATCTGAGTAGTTTGCAGTTTTAGCTTGCCTACGATCCCATTCCAGCTGGGCCTTCTGCTTGGACTTCAACATGCAAAACTGTTGCAAAAGCTTAGGCATTGCATCATGCACCTTCCACCACCTTTCATGAGCGACATCACTTGCAAACTCGTGAAAGATGTCGGCATTCCAGTTACAATCGTAGTCCCGGAAGCACAACCACGGCTTCATTCCTAGATAGTGAAGGACATAGAGAATTGGAGGGTCAGCACCAAATAACAAAGACTTCATTTGCTTCGTCTCTTCATCATCTCCAACCCAAAAATGCTTCAAAAAGTTCATGTGTCTTGGCATCCTGTGCCACCATGTAAATATTTCATTTAAGTATCCCTGATCCCCTCCATTGTAGGAGTCAAACTCATTAATATGATCCATTAGGAGCTTGAATGTGCAATTTGATGGCTCAACCACCATGACACCTGAGTTAAAAAGTGTGGCATCATTTCCTGTTGCAGTAATTTCTGGCATTCCAAATAGGAAATCTATATTTCTTAGAATGAGCAAATCTGCATCAATGAATACTATCTTGTCATAATCTGTAAGCTGCCACAAACGAAACTTGCTGTAGTTCCATTCATTGTAAGCATCTTTTTCAGCTTTTGGGTTTCTGATCCTTTGTATTGTCCTAATTTTCCACCCTGCTGCTTCTAAACCACTTCTGTGGTACTCACCTATTGTCTCATCAACTAGTATAACTAGGTCTCGAGTTGATCCAGACATGCGAATGCTTTGTGCAGCAGCAATAGCTCCACAAACATAAACGTGAGCTGAATGGAGAATAGTTGCATATGCTTCCGTACGAACATTTCCCGCGTAAATCAGCTCTGCTTGCAGTTAATTCAATTTTATTGTTGTCATTTACTTGATAAAAGGAATATAATGAAGAAGACACAATATGATACTGTTCTGTTGCTAATGGTCATGGATGAGAGAACATAACATGTCTGTTTTAAGTAGAAAAAAAATATTTTCTTGGTCGTGCAAATATATATTCAGTTTCAAGTTTCAACAACTTTGCTTCCACAGAAAATTTCATCATTTTATAGATTAGGTTTGTGGTTCTTGAGTAATTATTAACAACAAAATCATCATTATTGTGCAATGGAAAATTGGTCCCCAAGTATGTGTTACTTAAAAACAAATTATTCATTGTTGATAAAATTATTTGTTACTGTATACAATCTGCGACATTATATGTTTGTGAAAGTACTGTGATGTTATCATGCTATGTCTATAAGTGTGTTAGAAAAAGGAAATATATTTATCAATAGCATTACAATGTCTACGAGTGTGTTAGAAAAAAGAAAGTAGAACTAACCTTTGTCCCTCAAAGGAAGTGAAAGTTCACATGACCCTACCGGGAGCTGGAGTTTTTCTCTCAAAACAATCAAGTGTGGCCGGTACAACCATACATTCCCTTCATGTTCCACAAGTTCTTTGCAGGTAAACAAATTGGGTATTGGAAAGAATTTGGTAATGAAAAGCACATATACGGGGTAATTTCCTTTAAGAGAGGCTGCAAGCCTAGCTGCAGCTAGCTGCAAGTGCAACCTAGCAACATCTCTAGACCAAATGCCCCAATTGGCATGAGGAAGCTTCACAGCTATGAGATTCAGCCTTATTCCCGGAGATCTGAGAGATGGAAGAGAAGGACAAATCGGAACTTTGGTTTCTTCTTCCTCATCAATCCATTCTGGGTATAGGGATTCCCATGTCACATTTTTTGCAGCATACTCTAGGTCCAGAACAACATGTGCAACATTAGGTATTAGCTGTTCCCAATGGTCTAATTCAGTCTTATTGAAGTTGAGAAGACCAATCCCTTGAAATTCATTTTTGCCTGTCAGTTTCTCTGTAATATGTAGTATATCATCCCAGTTAATATCTACATTCGATGCATACCGAGGATCTGGTCCACTCCATATCCACCTGTTCACAAAATTTGGCCTGCATGATATAAATTTGACACATTCTATTCGTAACTCCATGATATTAATTTCACTTTTGGAAATCAAATTACTCGGTGAGCATGATCGTGCATTGCATTGCAGAAAAGAATTGGAAAATTACTGATGCATTAAAGAAGTAAAGCTTTTCTTCTTCTTTTAATACGGAGTTATAGACTAGTAATTTATGGATGAACAAATATGTCACCCTGTGTCATCATTGTCAATCATACTGTTGCTATTTCACAAAATGCAATACTTTAGAAGCTATTTCCTCAAGAAAAGTGAAGTATACCAAGGTTGTGGACATCTTAAATTAACAACTTATTTGTGAATTTGGGACACTTGCATCAGAGTGAAAAGAAAAAAAGATATGCAGTAGGAACACTTAAATGTAGCATATATGCATACCCAGAGCCAAAGCTTGATAAATGGTTGCTGCTGTAAACCTTCGAATGCAGAAGCATTACATAAGTGCCGCAAACGGTTATGAATAGGAGAAAAGGTTTTAAGAGAGAAAAGTTGCATCTTGAGCTTCTATCTTTGATGGATAATTGGATAGGCTTCTCATTCTCAGCATCTTTGGCATTACCTTTTGGTAATCTTCGTCTGTATAAATCTACACTGTACCACGTTGTTACTCAGCATCAAAATAATAGATATAACCAAAAGAAATAAGGAAGAAAATTTATTAGAAACCATTGGAGATTAGAGATTTAATCAAACTCTAGCAATACCAGAGTTTGTGGCAGTTTGACCCAAATTACATCCCTATGGATAAAATGTTCTTATAAACATTACTTGATAGTTTGGAAAGATGGAACAAGAAAGGAAATTGAGATAGAAATATGAACAATTACTATTTGTGAGGAAGTGCAGCCTAGCCATGTTAAAAATGGAGGTTCATTCTTTGACACTCCATTTTTTCCTCTTTAAACCCCTGTTCCTTAGTGTTTTGAATATGAGTGCTGTATAAAATTATCATACTGTGCCAAATTGGAAGGCTTGTTTTCACAGTTGTAGTATTATTATATTTCAAAAGCAAATTTTTAAAATGTTTAAAAAAAAGGAAACATAATTTTCAAAATATTATTCTTTGTAGCTTCACCTAAAAGAAGATACTAAGGACAGATGAAATGGAGCCGGATTCTAATTTATATTTTAAAACGACGGATAATGTTTTACTCCGATCCTATTCTAAGTCAATCGCGAATGCCTTAATTTTGTTTTAATTAAATTTTTTTAAAAATATTAAAGTGTTTATATTAAAAATAATTAATCAAAAAATATTTAATTAAAAACATTTTTAAATTTAAATTATATAACAAATTTAAATTTTATTTTAAATATAATAATTTAATATTTAAATTATAAAAATATCATTTATTCATAAAAAAATATCATTATCATAATTTATTTTTTAATAATTTAAAATAATAATTTATCTTAATCATAAAATTGGTTCTTATAACTTTATTTTTAAAATAAGTGAAATTTTATTAAATTAATTTATAATATATTTTTAATAAAATAATATTATTTATTTTTATTTAAAAAATTATTATTTTATAAAACAAATAGGTTAACCTAATTATTGATTTAATTTAAGCGATAATTTTTCTGTTACTGACTTAATTCTTGAGTTTTGAGTTTTGGGCACATCTATTAGGCTAAATCTACTTTAACATTCTATTTAAAAAAACAAAACAACGTTTATAATTCTGGGCCAGTGATCCAATTGGTTCTTGTTGGGTAAAAAAGTTCATGTTAAGTAAGGCCCAACCCTACTGGTCCAAGTTGGGTAAAAAAAATATTTTGTTCCAACTTTATTGATCGAATCCCTGTAATTATTAAGTTAGACTTTACCTATTTATACACTAGTTTTAACCTCAAGTATAAATGCAAATATCTTTTTTTATAACATTTTTTTAGTGTTTATATTTTCAAATTGATTAATTTAATCCTTTAATTTTTTAAAATACATTATTTTAACTTTTTTATATCTAAAGTAATCATTTAGTACATTTTTACCAGTACAAGATTCATAAAGTGACTAAATTAATAAAATATGTTATTATAATTTCTTTATGCCCAAGTTTATCATTTCGTGTACAACCACAAAATTAATAAAAGAGAGTTCACTAACTTTTAATAATGGCAACAATATACTGCTGGAAAGTGTCGAAACTTTTAGTAGTTCAATCCTTTTCACATTAGAAGAGACTTCACTAACTTTTAACTTTTAATTCTATTTCACGCAATGAAAGTATATGGAGGAAGTAAAAGTGAGAGGTCGATTATAATGCAGTTTATTCAAGAAATATTTTAGAGTTATTGTATCAAAGCAAATAACTTGCTTAAAATAATAAAATCATATATGGTACAATAAAATATCTGAATTTAGATATATAACTTTTTCTCTTACAAACACATGAAGGTTTGGTGCCAGTGTCTGCATGTGAAGCACGAGATAGATATTAGACATTAAGAAATTAATGAAAACCTAAACAGTGATTTTCGCTAGTAAACGAATGGAGGGAACACCCTGTTAGCACCAGTTATAAAGTTGAGAACGTAAAGCAGAAAGTGTAACAAGAAGGAACTCACATGGATGGTGGAAAACGGTGTCTCCCTTCAAGGGGATGTGGGGAAGTAGCCATTGTTCTATCTTTTCACTTTTCTCAGCTACAAGGGCATGCTACAACGTCAACTGATTATAGGCCAAGATAATATTCATAAAAATAGAAATATATATAGTTCAAACAACTGTATCTCTATAATGGAGTTGTGGACAAAATAAGATCTTGGAAACTATCTTTACGTGTACTCGTAAGCTGATCAGACATAAAATCTGTGTCTCACGACCTCTTCAACTTAAAACCACAATCCTCAGAATTTGATACGTGGACGAAAACATAGGTTATTATATTATAAAAATGAGAGAGAGAGATGGAGGTTGAGATATCTCGAAGAAATAGACACGTTTTAGAGGCTTGTGGAGAACAAAGATAAAGAGATGGAAGGGACACATTATGCCATAGTTGGGGAGGTTGGGTCAATATAGACAGCCTGACAGAATAACGTCCTTGAGAATTTTTCTCTCTTCTTTCGGTATCATACTTTTGGGTAGAGTCACCAACTTTACCTCATCTTTGAATATATTTTTCTAATTTCTTCCACGTTAGTGTTCGAGTGAAAACCGTCCTGCTTGCATTCTGATATAATTATGTAATTATTCAATTCTTGATTTACACTTGGCAGGACATGATGCGTTATATTACACATTATGCAGTAACTTTGCACTTTTAATGTTGGGAAGTCAATTAACCATCATTTAGTTAGGCAAAGTATATCTATGGTATTAGCATGGCATAATTTTAAGATCTTTTAAGCTACGCACAGCAAAGGGTAATTAAAACTCATCAGAAATTTTCACCATGATAAAATAGATGTACTTTTTGCATTTTAGATCCCAAATATGATCAACACACTTGTGTTTTCTCAATCATTTATTTAAAGTGTTGAGAATAAAACTTATTATGTAGTAGTTGGAACAAATTAGGTTAACCGTTAATGAACCAAATTTTTATTTGGATTGAGAGTTATAAGGTCCCAATCCATGCATGCATGTTTCATGTCAAATGGGTTATATTCTGAAACATTCCATGAAACAAGGAATGAAATGCTTCTTTATGATATTATCAGACACTAATAATGCATAGGACTCATCTCTTTCCTAATAATCCTCTTATCTTGAAACCAGCCACACGATAAATTTCTTATATCCACTGTAGGTTAAGTCTATCTTCATTACAATTTTCTCTTTATGTTGAACTGAAATACACCAGCATTTGAAGAAATCAGTGGCTGACAGCGTTAAACACGTAAAATTATCTGCCAAAGATAGGTACAAATTTAATATATCAATTTTACTATTCTGTTGCGGTTTTAGTATTATCTTATAACAAAATTGAACCTTCCTTGAAAGTGATGATATCCATTCAAATGTTCTTTTAGAATATTTCACTAACAAAATCTCTGGTTTAGACAGTATCAAAATCACTAGAAATGTGAAAAATACAGTAAGATGGTTAATAAAAGGAACCATAAAGTTTTATTTTGTTCTACCTCTCAAGTTAAGGCATACACGCAGCCTGAAGAGAAAAACAGCAGGAAGAACATTCCATGTATATGTACAAAGTTCCAAGGACAAATGCACTATTGTAAGAATTTGTCAGTGGTAAGGCCTCAATCACAAAAGAAGGTTCAGAGAGAGGGAGGGTACTGATATTGAAACTTTGCTCTATATATGATACGAAGGAGAAGAGGAAAATGCTTGTTTTAGTTGGCCACAAACGTGGATTAAGTTTGTTTGAATTGTTTCCGAAGCACACTGATTCATTTGGTTTGGAGTTGCTATCATTATGTTCAACACCATTATTCCGTAAACAGTACGAGGTTGGAAGCGAAAGCGAAAAATCGAAGCTTTTACGTGCACCTTTGGCAATTACAAAAGTAAATGAAAAACTTCAATTCCAACAACCATTCTCACGCGATATAGTTTTAACCTTATCTTCTTTACTGTTCTTTCTCTCTTAGATTTTAATCTTTCATGCGCCTTTCATGTTAATTATAAATTACTAATCAATTTATTAGTACACAAAATTGTAATAACTTCAAATTGATAAAATGACAAAATAATCTATAAAATTACAAGTTATATATTAATCCAGGTCCAGGAAATGTGTATCCTTATGTAGTTTTTTTAAAGTACAAAAATGTGTTATACCATATTGTTATATCTGTGGCTATGATGAATAGATAGATGACATATTGTTCTTAATTTTCTAAAATCCTACGTCAAATTTAATTTTAGCAAAGTATGAACATTTATTATATCACGGAAACCAATAATTGTATTTGATCATGCTTATATTTTGGAGATCGTGTGGGTAAAATAGTTTGAAGTTGTGTAATATCAAATAATATGTCAATATTTAGATCGAGAAAATGTCTGTGACAGTTAAGTTTATGTGTTAGTTTTTTAAGTTTGAATAAGAATACTTCTGATAATAATTGGAGAAAAGAAGTTACTTGATACAAGGTTGGTACGTGTGGATTTTAAGGGTACACCAAGAGGAACATTTTTTGTCGCTCAACGCTTGATTATATAGAAAATTAAGGACGAACGAAAAAATAATAGCTAACAAACTAACAGAATACATTCTATAGAAAAATGGAAAAAAAAAAAAAATGAACAAACTAACAGAATAATATTATCCCTATCATCCTCCCTCAAGGTGAGCATCAATATTAGGAAGGTTTGGTTTGGAGATAATAGAAGTGAAGGGAGATGGATAAAGGGCTTTGGTAACACACATTAACTAATTGACTTGTTGAAAGAATATGCACGAGTGAATGGATAGAAATGGGTGAGTTGTTATCACAAAACATGAAATAAGGAGCTGAGATAGAAACATGAAGATCTCAAAGCAAAAATTACTACAATTCACATGTTAAATAAGTTTCTATACTCAGCCTCAAGGGATAACTTAGAAATAATAGTTTATTTCTTATATTTCAAGCAACCAAGACGTGTATGAGAAAAGACAAAATCTTGATACCGAACACCAAGTAATGAAACAAGTTGCGGATTCAAAATCAGAATAAGCTTGGATTTTGAGAGGAATATTAGAAAAATATAAGAGACCATAACCGAAAGCCTTTTTCAAATATTTAATAATCCTTGTGGCCTGCTGCATGTGAGGTTCTCTCGGGCAAGAAACAAATTGGCTAAGCTACTGAACAACAAAGCTGATATCAGGTCTAGTATTGATCAAATTTAGTAATCTTTCAATAAGGGGTCAATTTTCAGAGGGATCAGAAAGAACATTTTCTTCATCTGCATGAAGCTTAATAAAAGAATTAATAGGAGTAGAAGATGGTTTGCAACCAAACATACCTACTTTTGAAATAAATTCTAGACAATATTTCCTCTAGTTTAAAATTCGGCCTGTTTTAAATCTAACAACTTCAAAATCCAAGAAGAACTTGAGAGGACTTAGATCTTTAATATGGAATATGGTATGAAGATGATTCTTAACAGAATTAATATCTGAGATACTGTTACCAGCAAGAACAATATCATCAACACGTAGATCAATAGAATGATAATCACAGAATCAGATTTCTTGACAAAAAGAGAGTGGTTAGCAAAAATTTGCTTATACTCGAGAAAAAGAAGTTAACTTTTAATTCCAATTTCTACTTGCTTGTTTCAAGCCATATAATGATTTATGAAAGATTGCAAAAGAGTTTTGGATGAGAAAGAGAAAGACATGTAGGAGGCTATAGATTTCCTCATGCAAAACCCCATGGAGAAAGAAAGACATTATCAACATCCAATTGGTGTAAAATCCAATTATTTAAACTGGCTAGAGCTAAAAGGAGACGAACAGTGGTTAGTTTTACAATGGGTGAAAATGTTTCAAAGTAATCAACACCTTTAGTTTGGGTAAACCTCTTTGCCACTAAACACACCTTGAATCTATCAATGGAGTCATCTGCTTTGTGTTTGATCCTATAAACTCATTTGCAACCTATACATTTCTTGCCAAGAGTACTACAAGAAAATTATTAATTACCGACGGATATTTATCAACAGATATGTAACCGTGGAAAAATGAGTGATTACCGACGGATTTAAAGTAGCTGTAGAATTTGATCTTATCGATGGATATATCCGTCGGTAAATAAACAATTAATTACCGACGAATAAATCCATCGATAAATAAATAATTAATTACTTACGAATATATCCGTCGGTAAATCCGTCGATAAATGAATAATTAATTATCGATGGATATATCTCGTCGGTAAATTTTGGTAAATGAACAATTGATTATTTACTCGATATATCCGTTGGTAAATTAACAATTAGTTACCGAACTGACGGATTTAAAGTATATTTTTAAAAATCAACATTAAATTAAAAAAAGTAAATATTTAAAATTATATAATAATTACTTAATTTTAAATATATTCTAATAAATTAATTATTCGCCTAATTAAAAAATTAAATACTTTTTTATTTAATAATTTAATCATAATTAAATTAATTTATAATAATTTGTTAAATTAAATAATTTTAAAAATAAATATTTAAGTATTTTTAATATTGAAAAAATTATTTTAATATAAGAATTTTAATTAAATAATAGAAGAAAAAAATGAAAAGAATAAATTAAAATAAAAATAAAAATAAAAAAAAGAAAAAAATTATTTTATATCATTATATAAATAAATTATAAAGATTATATTATGTCATTAAATTATAAACTTATATAAAGAGACCCGCCCATAAATTTGACATCAAATTTTGAAAACTCACTTGACACACACTTTCACCATCGAGCGCGCCCTCACATCCAACATGTAAATATATAACTATAAATATATTTGTATTTATATATTTTATATTTATATATTTACACGGATATACATTTATTTGTATATAAATATAATTTATTTGTAAATTATTATTAAAAAATTCTAGTAGCTCAGTGGTTAGAGTATCAACCTTCAACTCTAAGGTACTTGGGTTCGAATCAATAATTCAAATTTCTGAAAAATGTAATAAATAAAGGGAGGGGGACCTTTA